CGTTGATGGAGATGTAGAAGAAGGAGAAGAACTGCTGCAGCTCACGTGCCTGCGACGACTGAAACTGGTCGCTGAAGAAGTTTAAAAATTAGGTTTTTTGATGAGTTAAATCTTTACCAACAAAGTCTTACCCGCCAAAAGCTGACACGCAAGGCTTGATGCCGCCCGTGCCTAGGGCGACAAAGGCCAGGCCGAGGTAGGTCATCCAGCTAGGAGTTAAAATGGAGTTTTAAAATGATAAGCAAAACTTTTCAGACCAGCACTTACATAACTCCATCCACCGCAGAGAAGGCGAGCACAATGTTGCCAATGGCGTAGACAATGGAGATGCTGAGGATGGTCCAGAACTTGCCTAGAAAGGAGTCGGCGAGGATGGCGCCCAGGACGGGCGTAAAGTAGCACGCCATGGCAAAGACGTGAAAGGCTTGAGTGGCGGTGTTCTCGCTGTAGAGGAGGACGTAGCGGAAGAAGAGCACCAGAATGGCTGAATGGAAAAAGGGGTGTTTAGAACTTCCGGTGTGGTAAACTAATTAAAAATTAACCTCGCATTCCGTAGAAGGAGAATCGCTCGCAAAACTCATTGCTAATGATGAACCACACCGATTTAGGGTAGGGGGTCTTCTTCTCGCCCTTGAGGTAGCCATCTTCACCCGAGGCAGTCTAAATTGTGACGAAAGGGGAAGCGGAAGTTGAAAAGTGAGCAACTTTTAAATAAACAAACAAACAAACATGCAAAACAGCCCACAAATGAATGCTACCTTCATTTAGAACGGTTCAAAAACTGGCTGTTCTGATCAAGCACAAGTCTAAAGTTAATCTGAAGATGAGGGCAACCACTGCAGAGGTCACACATTGAAGAAGAAGAAGAAGAATGTGGCGAGAACTGCCGCCGGGCTAGATTAAATAGACTTGGCAGTGGAAGAGAAATAGACAGTAAAATGTTTTCCTCCTCCTCCTCCTTTGCAATCACACACATTGCAGTGATCTACTTGATCTACTGATGCGATCTGCCAGTACCACTGCCACTGCTTCCAAATTGCTTGCACTTTCAAATTGACACTGCACTTGCTTTTTTGCGCACAACTACCTAGAAATGGCTGCAATTAAAATAGCGCACATTTAAAGTGAAAGCTGACAGCCGCTGAGAGCTGAGAGTTTCTAGACAGTTCCCACTAGCACACACTTCTGTGACCATTTTTTGCTCTGACCGGCTCTTTGTGCTCTTGATGACGCGACTGCTGTTGCCACAGCGGTAGCTGTGTCAAACTGTGCTGGCTCTCTTTCAGTGACACCAAAACAGACACAAACTGTGGGTCATTGTGTAACTGGGTAAGTTACCGGTGGTGCTAGTGAGCGGGTTGTCTCGAGAACAGGTGGGCACAAGTGGGAAAGGGAGAAAGGGGGAAAAGTGTGTCGATTAGAGCGATGACACTTAACACTACAGTAGAGCACACACATTAGAAATACTAAATACTCGGTGCAACGACGCAACAGGTACATGACAAACTTCCGCTCTTGGCGGTGAAACACTTACCTCTTTCATTGTGGGTGGGGTAGAAGAACTTGAGGATAAAGATGAGGAGGAGGAGGAGGAGGAAGTTGAGGAAGATATGCTTCTACTGAGTGGTGATCACTGTACAACCAGCTTGAATTAGGGGGAGAAAACTGGGAACGTAATCGTAGACGTTAAACACATGCACGCAGACACACTACTAGAAAGTTGCCTGTCTTTGCTTTTAGTACTGAAGTTGTACAATTGTTGCAGCGAGAGGGCAAATAGAAGAAATCGAACACAGAGCGTGCAAGTGATGAGTGATGAGTTGAGTGAGTGTTGAGCTTACCGCCGGAGAGAGAGAGAGAGATTAATTAAATGAAGCTGATGGAGAAAGGGCTGAGCAAATTAGCACGAGCCACAAGGTAAACAGAAGGATTGAATTGGATCGGGCAGACTGGCAGGCAAGAGTGGACGTCTAATGATGAACTGGNAGATGAAGAAAGGGCTGAGCAAATTAGCACGAGCCACAAGGTAAACAGATGGATTGAATTGGATCGGGCAGACTGGCAGGCAAGAGTGGACGTCTAATGATGAACTGGAAAATGGAGAGAGAAAGAGTGGAGAGCCAAATCACGAGATACCGAATGAAGTCATAAATAAAAAGAAGTGGTGAGAGAAAGGCAGAAGAGACTGGAGAGAGAGAGTGAAGAGAGAAACGAGGGCCTCAGTTGACTTCGACAGAAAGACTTCAACGACTGTAACAGCTCTCGGGTGGCTCTGGAGCTGAAGACTGAAGACGAGGGCGCTCTTCGCTGCCGATATTTATTGTTATCACCGTTGCCGTGTTTTTGGTTGCTGTCTCACCAGCAACCGAAGCCAGGACTAAAACAGTCACCGGCAAAATTGGTTTCGTTTCGTTGGTGTCACTGCTGCTTTTTTCTGTCAGTGCTATTGTTCGCTGGGATAGAAAGAAAGGTATTCAGTATCGGGCGCCCACCACCGCTCATCTGATCAGTCAAAGTCTACTGTCAGGGCACACATCATTTTCAGTGGTAGATGAAACTGACTGGAAAGATAAAGATAAAGATGATGATGATGATGATAAAGAAAAGTTGCGCTAGTGAAAGTGAGTCAGTGAAATTGATGGTTCGCCTGGCTGATGCTGCTGCTGCTGCCAATGAACAAGGTGGTCAATGATGCAAGGCCGAACATGAACTCGCTTTCTTCGGCAGCGGTCGATTAGCCTAACATTGACAGTCCTGTAAAAAGAAAGATCACTATGTGTTTCAAAGCAGCAGCAGAAGACATCTGCTAGCATCATTACCACCGAGCACTACTCCCTCCAGTTGGTAACCTTCTCTCTTTGATTTTTTTGAGTATTTTCAGTGGTTCGAAATTGAGTGTTTGGTGGAATGTTTTAGCTCCAGACTCACAGCAAATGAATCGACTCTTTTTGTGCAGCCTTCTTTCAATGTTTCACTCAATGTCTCTCTAGCTCTAACCATCTTTCAAAATACTGTTGTTTGCTTTAAAGCAGCTGCAGCAGTGAAAGTGATTTACGACACTACAGCATTACCGAGCAGAACTCTTCTTCTGAAGTTGAACAGGTGGCAGTAACCACAAACCACTTTCTTCTTCCTCTTATTTTCAGTTCTTTTCACCAAAGGACACTTGAGGAGGCTGAAAAGCTGCAAATAGAAAACAAATCCTACACTTTCAGCACACTTTCTCGAAACACCAGCAGCAGCAACAGCAGTGAGGTGACACTCATTTGCATTAACCTACATTACAAGAACGGGGACAAATGGTAGGGAAAGCGAGTGCTGCATAGCAGTCCACCATCACCAAATCACCAGCAGCAGCACCATCACCAGAACGACCAAGGCCTCCTTTCTCCAGTCATCATCACCTGACCACCATCATCATCTTATGACACACACCAGCACACTGTTCAAATGTTTGCCTGCTTAGGTGGCCAACATTTGGAGGCCTCCAAAGCGCCGTCTGGTTGCCAGCCACCTGAATACTACTCATAAACTACTCTTTCAGTGATCATCTTTTCGGACCTTTATTTTTAGGCGTAATAATAATAATAGTTACTCTCTAGTGGTAAGCTTCGTGAAAACAAAATCGTTCGACTAAGCATCGACTTCTAACAATAAATGGACTACTGAATAGGAAAAAATAAGAGTGATGTGGCGGGGCAAAAGAGAGAACACACGATTGCAGGCTAACTTTGATTCTTTTTACAAAGGGAGTGGTAAGGGTAAGGCTTTCTGGTTCAGTAGCACACCACCCGACATTTTACATGGGCGGCAAACTGAGCAGCGTCTGCTGTCCCGGCGGCAGGTAGTTGACGTTGCGCGACTTGGACAGCAGCTGGGCAATGTCCTCGGCGGCCTCCAGTCGACGCAGCTCCACCAGCGCCTCGCCGCAGTCGCCGAAGGCCTTCGCCAGCAGCGAGGCCGCCTGCGAGTCACCCTCGGCGCTAATGACTGCCGCCTTCTTCACCTGCTCGGCCTTCTCCACGAGGAAACGGGAGCGCTCTGCCTCCTGCTGGGCGACCTGCTTCAACTCGACGGC